GGGAATTTTATTTAGTATTTCTATTACGTTTCCAGACAAATAAACGGAAGTGCCATCATTGACAGGCAGCTACAAAAAACCGTTGCAATTGACGTCATCAGAAGCAAATCCGAAGGAGAAGCATGGGAAGGGAGATAGTGGGAAGGGACCTACCCTACCCTACGGATTTTCTGGGAATCAGATCCTGAATAGAATCCATCTGGTGATAACGAAAACCTTCTACTATCACTAATCGGGCTAACTAATACGAATTCGTGTTTGGAGGTATTTACGATTCGAATGGAAGTCAAGTGCATGGCGTAAACCATGAAAGAGATTGGTCGGTGTCAATGGGTACAGAACATTTTCAGAGAGAAACAGAGTGTGGCAAAAGAACAAAATGGAAGTTGATAAAAATGACTGGTTTTATTGGAAATAAGCTCCGAAATTGGGCGTTTTCTAGTCGACAAGTAGGGAATATGCCACTCCTCAGTGGCTTCTCAATGAAGAACTCATAGGATTACAAGAAACAAGTAGTGATAAAGTTGCCAGACACAAATGAATTAACCTATTCGAGAAAAATGTATGAAAGGCACGGAAACACTGGTTTATTCACAATTTTCGTGCCTACATAAGGGATTTTTCTCAAAGAATTAATCAGCAAAAGAACCGGAACAAGGTGATGATCGTGAAGGATCGTTTCCCCTACTAATTTGAGGCCTAAACGCCTTAACAATTTGGAAACCAGTTCAATCCTATTTCTCCCGAATCATTCTCCCTCTCCGCCAAAAGCACTCTTCGCCCTATCCAAAACAGATAAGACACCTAATCAACAGAGACGAAAGTAGCAAAACGAAAATTCGAGTAAAATTCGAAAATGTAGGTAAAAAAACAAAATTTTAAAAAATTAACTCGACCTAGTACATATAAACGATTCTACTACGGATCATTGCACTTCCGGTAATTTTTCAGATTTTTTTCCTGCTCGAGAAGGGTTCTGCTATATTTTAATTTTGTTCTTTTATTGAAGCGCATTTTGAGTGTATAACAAACAACCAGATAAACAAGCAAATAAAGGAATAAATAAAACATTAAGAATCCAAGTATAGTTTTCAACAGTTCCCATAAATGTGGAAGATGACCTTTTCTCTTCTCGATTCTGCAGATTTAACTGGTAACTCATAAATGAGACAAGAACAACAGCGAAGGACGAGGCAGAACGAGGCAATGGCTTCTTGGCTTACCCAATCAGTGGCCATGTCTGGAAAATTTTCTGACGTTTCCATGATTGATTGCATTCAGTGTTGTACAGAAAGGGAGGATTGCGGAAATTGAGTGGAAAGTATCGACTGGGGGACGAAGTGTAAGGAGTCTTCACAAACAAAATTTAATGTCGGCAATGATAGTCGAAAAGAAAATCATTTCAATGGCTTCGGTTGAGACCATGGGGAGCTGGATGACATTGCTTGAGTTAGTACTTTTGAAAAATTAAACCAAAAAATCTGTAGGTAATGGAGTGCCATACTTCTTAGACGATAGAGAATTTGAGGAGTGAAAATCATAGAAGTGATCGGTACTCAGACAAATGGTGAAGACAACATGCAATTCGGTCGTGGAATAGATTTCAGTCTCAGCGGCGATTGATCGAAATGCCGGCGAAATCGTTGAGAATTCCATGTACCCGACGCCATCACAACAAGCGAACCCCCTACCCGTATCGATTCCCGTGGAAAAGCGGCCAAGGAGGCGAACGCCGCCACTGCACCCGAGAGCTTCGTTGAGCCCAGCCAGACGACACACGGAAGGCTAGGCTGAGCTGAGCTGATTGAATGCTCGGCCCGTTAGATGACGTAACGACCTGCAGCTAAACGGGTAGGCACACCCTAGCTAATTTGTTACTGTAGTCTAATCTTTCGGGGGATACGGTATTGTCATGGTTTCGTGGGCTGAATAGTCACAAAACTAAGGCAAGAGTATCAAAATCTGGCATGAAAGGGGCTCGAAAGGATAACAGCGTCATGTAGATGTCAATATGCTCATAGAAATGACGTAGACTGAGTGGAATTCATAAGTTAGTGGCCCCAAGCTTTTTATTTGGATGGTAGGTATGGTGACCTAAGAACCACTCGAGCAGGTGGAGGAAAAAACCTGATGGAATGCCAGTAAGCCACCAGCCACCCATATTACTGCTGAGACAGAGGCTGGCACATTCAACACATAACCATGTGTACGAGTAATTCGTGAGATGACAACATCGATAAGAGCAAGCGAGCGTTGAGAGGGAGCGACTCGCTGAAGGTTATGACCGACGACGACAGCGACGATGGCGACGATGACGATGGTGACGAAGCATTTATTGTTCGGTCTCGAACTGTCAATGCTGACCTTGGCACGACTTTAGCTAGTCAACCATCAAAGAGGGCGTGATCTGATGGCCGATTGACGTCTGTCTGTGCGTAACGGCCTCACCCACTTTTCAAACCGGCGACCGAGGAGATCCGCGATCTAAGCGGTGATAAATGAAATTACATCATTGCTAGCCACGGGATGAGTCACATTTTTCAAATCCCTGGACGTGATCTTTCCAGATTCCCCCATAGAACGCTATAAATGATCTTGTTGCCGGTTGAAAGTAAAGAAATGCCTCTAAACCCCCAGACTGATATGAATGTGTCAGAAAGGCACGGTAAAGAACGTCAGAGTGTTGGGTGTGGGGGCGTCCATCGTCCGTCCAACGAGGGAGACTGTCTTGGGATAGGGCGTAAACTGTGTTGTGTAATCAGTTAGTCAAGGGGATTCAAACCGCAAGAGTACGGTCAAAGTATAAGACGTTGGGTAAGCAGACAGTATACAGATTACCTGGGTAGATTTGATATACGTTGGATGGCTTCCGAGAAATGGGTGACTCATTGGGCGAAAAAAAGCGGTTGTCGCAAGGAAATACATGATTGTGGCAGAACTTTTTTGAAGGACTCGTTCGTTCCCTCACGGAAGGGATGCCTCCGTCCCAGAAGCCATAGAATGAGTTCATAGACGGTGGGTCATGAGGTTCAAAACGTAAAAAAAATCAAAACGATTTCAGGTATGAAGGCACTTTTTTCCTGACTCCTCCAAAGAAATCGAGCGTGTCGCATTACCGAGTACACGAAATTTTAGTGTTTTTTCAGCACTGTTCAACCCTAATATGGGAGGCGTCCGTGCATTCCTCGCCCATTCAGGAATGAAACGGCGGTTGAGGGCGTACTTGGGCTACACAAAGAATTGCGGAGGCCATTCGATGCGCAAATCAGTGATTTTACCTCCTCAGAGGAGACTAGATCGAGTGCGAACTGACAGAAAGTTGTCTAATTGTAAGACTAGACGAGTATCTATCTGAGGTTTATTTCCAAAATACAAAAATGGTAGTGTAGCTTCTGCCACTTCTCCGCCACTGCTCTGTTGCTTGGCTGCCTGGCTAATCTTCGAGCTGCCACTTCAAATAATGTTGAATCTTGGGATTAAAAACTGCTTCTAAACTCGATTGTTTCCGCATGTGAGATAGGCAAGAAAAGAAGAAGGACTAATAGAAGCTCATACTTCTCCGTTCCTAAACACTCCTCCTCAGATGAACCTAATTCTCCAAAGAATTTTTAATTATTTGAAAACCACGGTCAATATCGGGTGGGACGCAAACGGAAAGAAAAGAGTAGTTAAAAAGGAAAAATAATAGGAAAAAANAAAAAAATGGTGTAGAAGGTGGCCTCCGACGTAAACGTGGATGAGTCATTGAAAGGACCCGTCTTTGTGAGGTCAGCGTAAGGGTAGGGTTACATCAAGTAGCTTCTGATAGCATCATGAGCGAAATGATGGTATGTGTAGTGAATAATACTTAACCCCTATGGGAGGGATGAAAGGAAGTGACGAATTCGTATGGTAAAGACAATTTTTATATCATGAATACTTACTCGTGTCATGCCTCATCCTCTCTCGCCCCCTCCTCCGCTCGATGCGGTTTTTCATAGATGTAATTACGGAATACACTATTCAGTATTCATACTCACCCCACTCCCGACATTAGAATTGTAATAAAGTTTTTGTTTTAAGCTGAAATCCAAGGATAGTCATAGTGAGTGGGAAGCACTTCAGGAATGACGTCGATGGGAGGTTCTTTAGGAACGATGGAGTCAAGCGTGATATGGCGAAGTCAAAAATCAAGCTGCGGTTCTGTGAGCCAATCTAAGTTCCCACAACAAACAAAATGGTGATTAAAGGGAGTTTGGAATAAATAATCAAATAAAATAAATAAAAACATGAAGAATAAGAAAAATAGATCACAGAATAGATTAGGCTTGGAACTATTGGCGGACTCTTGTCAAACTTCTCGTTTTCTGTTCCTACGACAGAGTCGAGGAATCGTAACCTTTCAGGATCTTTCCCATGCTTTTATCTAGTAATGAACTGGTAGTAAGCAATTCAACTGTACTAATCAGTCGAAATACACCCCCTTTTCTGTTTTGACTTCATCCGGGAGAACCACAGTCTCTCACCCAAGTTCGACTCAAATTGGGTTCACTACCTTCTCATTAGGAGGGTCCACTGAAGCGGTATTTTTGTCCTTCATTGGAAACAATCTCCGACTTCCAATTGCCGCTCCAAGATGGAACCCTTCCCGTTGTCTCGTAGCCTGTCCGAGAACGTTGGGCAAAAATGGATTACTATACGGATTTACTATTCAACATTCAGAATATACCCATTGAATATAGTAATCCTCCCCAATTTCTTACCGGTGATTCCATTTCATATGATTCGGGTAAGGATTCTTCGTTCAGTTTTCTCGACACGATGTGGATTGAACTCAGTAGAGGCCGGCAAATATATGACGATATTCGAAATTTAAGCGATAAACCATGGTAAATTGTGGTAATTACAGGTAACCGACCTTGTAAAACAAAAAAAAAAAACGAAATGTTTTTCTCCTTCACATCAATAGACTGGCTAATAATAACTTCAAATCGGCAAGATTTCGAAGCAGTCCTTTGGGCATGAGTATGCTTCCACGAGAAGAAAACAAGAGAGAAACGTATGGGTATGGTAGTAAAGTTGCGATTCTGGCAATTCCAAATGGCTATTCTGAAGTCGAAAGCAAATACGAGGCCAAACACTTCCGTTTTCTAACGCAAACAAAATGCCCATGTGCCCAGATGACGTACTACGATTTCGACCCAGAAAATGGCTTGCTCATTGGGCGATACGCCCGAACGAGAAAAACGACATCGTTCTCAGAAAATCGACGACGACCACGACGATAGTCGTTCTGATTGAGGACCGAAACCAGAAAAAAAATTTAGGACGACGGAAACCATAGCACTGAACCGAAACGCCAAAGTAAACGGCTTAATTGACGCGCAAAACTAATCCGTACCGACCGTCGGTTGGCTGTAACGACTAGCACACCCACCTCATACCACGTTCGCAGAAAATCCACCCAGCTCTATGGGACCTATGGGAAATAAATAGGAGATGGGGGCTTTGACGATGATAGGGGACATGAGGTTGGGAGGGGAGTGCACTGTGCCTGTTGGCAGATCGCCAGCAGCGAAGGGGCCTCCGCCGAGGGAAATCAATGTGCGGCCGGCGGCACCCGCATGCGGATATGAGCCCCGACGGCACAGCGAACGAATGAGTAGCGAATGGAATGCTAGAGAGGCAGGGAGACAATCCAGACGAAACACGAAACATACGGTTGAGAGGTGATTCTATCGAAACGATAACTCGGACCAATTGACCCACTCTCCAAAGTTTGTCGTTTTCGAGTGGTACGGGTTTGCTACTTGACAATATTCCCCAATCACAAGCAAGTGTATGAAGTGCTGCATCACGAAATCTGCAACAGATGGTTATTCGTTCTGCAAGGAGCATAAGGTCGTATTTGCAAAAGGCGTCGAAGAGCCTTCTGGACGATGGTGAGGAATTAAGAAGTCGTGTCTGGTCCTTCATTCGGAGTGGGTAAGGTGGGAGAACGGAGACGTATTCCCAGCGCAATTTCAGTAAGGTCGTACTGACTGTCCCGCTTCAGGACGGAGTATGAGGTGACTATTGGTGAGAAGGATAGCATATGACCATTTGTGGAGGAAAGTGCCCTTCCCATGAGGTTTCCGGGAATGTAGAGTAGTTTGTTAGTCCGTTGGATTAATCATATCCAAGTTTTGTGTTGAAATGGCAAAAGTAAATTGCTTTGAACTCTAATTATAGCGGCCTGATGATGCGCCATGCATTCCGCTTCCATTACGAATAGTAGTAACATCGGGATCCGCATATTTTAGTCACTGCTTCATTAACCTAGGCCTTTGAAGAAATTACCATCACCTTGGTGTAAAGAACTTCTTGACTATTGTCTGAATTTAAATGTTCAAATAGTATTTGTAAGTTTAAGGCAGCAACCTCGTGACCTTTCGGAATTTCATGACCGTTTTCTGGAAAAGACCTCCACCGTCGAGCATTTCATATCCAGGTTAACTTCTCATTCCCCGGTTACCATATCATTTTTAGCTTTTTAATCAGTGCCGTTTTGACCTGCCTTTTTCAACTTTAAGTCTAAAGGATTAAGTTTCAGAGCTTCAATCAATCGCGTCTGAGGGATGCGCCCACACATTCGAGTTCCATTCAGAATCATGGAGGCAATTGAATGCGTATTTGGCCTATACAATGGCCTGTGGTAGACAGCCGATGTATAGTCAGTGTTTTTATCCTCCCAGACGAGTCTGGTACCAATCATCTGACCGCGGAGGGATTAAAGATTTGGTTGGCCTGGGAGGATACCGTGCCAGGATTCGAACCCGGCATGCTCATGGGTGTGCTAGGGTGCCAGCTAGTATTGCATCACCTAAGCACTGAAATACCATCAAATATCATGTCAATCAGATTCAACGTTTACCGTATACTGTATATCTGATTGTGAGGAGGGGAAAATGCGATGTCAAAAATCAAATTTCTCTGCATAGAATGTGCAGTTTTACTAGGAATTCTCTACTCAATAGTGGTTCATTAAAGCATATTCCGCCAATGAACAATTGGTTTTGCAGTCAACCTGTCAGAAAGCCTATAAGAAATAGAAGTGTCGATAAGTGATGTTGCTTGTGCAAAAGAAAAGGTTTGTGAGCGGAATAATAGGATTTTAATTACGGAAAATGAAGCTTTGCATGGGAGAGACTATCCCCGAGTAGACGTACATACATATAATAACTAAAAGGAAAGGCTCCTCTTTGGGTGTGGTGTTCAAGAGAAAGAAGTTTTTCCAAAAGTCCATGTTTCCACGATACTCCTACCGCACTCTCAATCTCATACGAATTCCAAAAGCTTGGGAGTTGATCAGTCCTGCATTTCCTGCTTTTGGTATGCGCCCTGCACTCGACTTCCATTCAGAATCATGGTAGCGTTCTGAACGCATATTTGGCCCGTACAATGACCTGCGGTGGCCAGTCGATGCACAAGTGAGTGCTTTCAACCTTATTTGACCGATCCCGGGGGGATGGAAGGTTTGGTTGGCATAGGTGGATACCATCAATCTGGAATTTGAACCCATGACCATGCGTGTGTACTAGTGCGCCACTTGCCACTACTTCACGTTCGCTAAAATTGTATAGTCTTAGAAAATTTAGATGTACACAAAATCATAATGAGAAATGGCTGAAAAAATTTAAAAATTTGAACTGAAGCTGTGATAACGAAACAAAACTATGGCCCTGTAAGTACACCATATGATATTTGGGCTTAAACTTAATTTTTCATTTTACTGATTTACTTACGTGCCTACTAATCTTTTTACTGGAAATAATTTTTGTTCCTTATCAACCGGGCCAAATCAAGGCAGACGCAGAGAATCACTCGCAATTTGTGTTTTGTGTGCTGATTGTCATTGTGGTTTTTCCGACATTTTCGAGGCCAATGTCCATCTTTACGCAACCCTACTTCGTGCTTTTTCCTAAGGGACATTATTTCATTAATGTGATTTTAATGATGTTTTAGTGGGGTTCACGTGTTGCAGTACCAAGCACGAGTCCCCCACCTGCATAGCTCGTCCCACAGACCGTGCGAATAGTGGCTGCTGAAGCATATTCGTTTTTAGCTCAGCCCAGACAAGACGAGCATGTACTCGTTGAGCACGCCTGAGCTCCTGCGAGAAAGGCGTGATGGGTAGTTCAGAGAAGATTTTTAGGCTCCGGCGATTCGCTACATGCTTGTCAAGATCCAGCAATCAACAGCTGTTCGAATGATAAACAATCAAACTTCATCGTGGTCTTCAGTGAATCTCGAACAGGTGAGAAAACTGATCTTACTATTACTCGGAAGCCATATTTCGTGGCTCTCCGTGAATCAGGCCACCTGAAAATTACGGTCGTGCTAACTTTTTGAACATTCAGGGACCCTGCCACTGATAACAAATGCAAGGCAGTGGGTTTCCTCGAAATCAGATAGACGTTTTTTGGAATCGGGACGTGAAAAGAGTGAAAGGATAGTTATATATAAAAGCTTTCCGATGAGACCCTAAACGGTGGGCCATTTTTTAGTTCCATACCGATTGAGCGTTTGTTTCAATTCTTCACTACAATTGCTGGAAGTGCATGCAACTTAACAACATCATTTTCCACCTTTTTGAGTTTTTCTTCAGAAATCTAATATTCTACGGAGGAAAATTTTAAGGTTTTTTGGCAATTATGCATATCTAGTAGTCAATTACAAAAATAATTACCATTTAACTTAAGTAGTTCACTTTTTTATGCCAATAGTTTTAATAAAAATCTGCAATTTCTCAACAATAGGTGTACCCTCTTAAAAAAAAGCTCTTCATCGGGCTTTTAAAGAAACCTTCTTATTAAATGAAGGCACAGTTCATGATAATTCTGAAGCACCCTTTTTTATTCATTCGAAAAGCGGAAGTATCGGTTGGCAGTAGTTCATCGGCATTGATGAAAGCAAGAGAACTCGCCGATTTCGAGAAAAATATAGCTCCTTAAAAGTAGGGAAAATAGAGGTTGGACGAGATTACCATGACCTAAATAACATAGAAGGAGTATTCGGACGAGATTTCAGGTTGCAATTGTGCAAAAAGCCGACCATATCAAGCCAGAGCCAGAACTGTGCAGAGCAGCCTTCCACTGTCGCTATGGGTCATGACAAGTTGTTTTAACTTCCCTCATGGGCTCTCTTGTGAATGGTGCACCCTCTACAACGCCGGTGAAACTCGTCCTAGTATTCAGACAATACAATCTTTGAGCCTTTATAACGCCTTAACAAGGCCGTTTTCCGATCTAATAGCACCAGATATGGTATACGAGGGGACCTCAAATTCATCCTATGGGGACATCTTGGAAACCATTTTTAACGTGAACTGTGCCTTTAAAGGTTCGTACCGAAAGATTTACATGGCACTCTAGCGTTTGAAGCCCTTCAAAAACTTGTTTGGATAGAAATTGTAAAATAATTACGTCTTAAACAAGACTACGGTAAGAAATTTTCCTATCCGACTTACGATTATTCAGTTCTCATTTTCACCTAATTCGCTGGCTTCAATATATGTATACTACGATTATATCTAGGAATTCCTGTATTTTACAGTACCTTCCGAAATGGCCGACGTTAAGAAAGCTTGCATGACCTCTATGGCAACGCTACAACTCGGTACAACTCCCAAGGATAAACAAAATGGCACGGACTTTTGCAAATAGTAAGCAAAAGTATCGCACAACCGAAATGTCCCAAGAACCATTCAAACTTCGATAATCAAAAAAAAATTTAGCTTGTTCACTCATCACAAAGATCTTCGTAAGTACTTCAAGGGAGCTGAGAATTACACTGGCGATGACGTTCAAAAAAGTGACAGGTCAATCATACTTTTAATCAAAATTCGACAAATTATAATTATTTTGAAAAGTTTCGTTCTCCTACCATGAAGAGCGTTCCCCGGGCTTTACTCTATTTTTTACGGGTTCTATAAGACTGTGGTAATTATATTTTTTATTCTTTGATTTTGATTAAGAATTGAATGCCGAAATATGAGTACCAAAAATATTACAAAACAAGAACCACGCTCATCCGTACCTTACTGTTGTATGTCGCTTTTAACAATAGCCCAATAAATAAATAAATAAATAAAACCCTGGAAAGCCTGAAAAGTCATTTTAAAAAAATAATGTCATTTTATTCTTAAGAAATTGTACTTATTTCAAAGCATTTTTATATTTCTCAAGGGAATCGCCGGAGTAATTGTGAATTTATTAATCTATCTGGTTCTGGAGTAATCGTTTCATTTGAATCCGATTATAGATTGCAAAAAGTTGGCTTGGCTTTGATAACGACTGTGCATGTGTTCGTAAACATTTACGATAATGTAAGTACTAGCTTTTTTTGGAGATTTCCAGCTTTCCTTCGAGTTCTCCACTGTGTGGCATATGGAACCTAAAAAGGGAGTTGAATCTCAGTATGGAGTGGATTTTTTAATTCTCATCAGCTTCAGGAAATGGTGTTCCGAGCATTTTGCCGCAATTTGATGGACAGGCATGTCGGCAGAGGAGTCGATCCGTCTTTGTGGAAGGTGAAGAGCTCCCTTCTGATCTGGCTTTTTTTTGTCAGAAAAACGCCAACTCCTAGAGAATCAAAAGCTAATAAGCTTCAAAAAATCCGAAAAAGATGGAAGGTAGCCATAAGAGGAAGCAATCCAGTGACTTTCCCGTGAAATAAGGTCAAATTGACTTTTTTAACTGATTTTTTTTACTACCATCAAAATTGCAAAATTTATTTCCAACCATTTTCATTCCTTTCTGAATTTAATGCTTGTATTCAGGCATTCTGGGACATCTGGGTAGCATTCCTGGAGAGCCGTGGAACCGTTCTGAATGCTGAACAGAAGACGGCATGGAACAAATTAGGAACACGCTTCAACGAAGAATGCCAGCAGTATCTTGCCAAGGAAGGACTTCCCAACACCTTGAATCATCCCTGAATCGAATCCCCCTTTCACGACTCCTCTGGTAGTTTTTATTCTAAATTCAGAAATCTGTGTATAGTCCTTCAAATGATACCTTCCAATAGCGGTGCGAATGAATCAAAAATCAAAAAGCACAGCGTCTTGGTGGTTCTCGCATGAACAGGCGAATAACCACGAGATTAGGATGCAGATATAAAATTTTATTTATTCATTTATTTGTTTATTTACACACTCAACTGAATGAATATACATTGGTACAGAGTAAGAAACAAACACGTATACAGTTCGAGCAGGGTACGAAACAAATTGCAGACGAGTTAGAAGTAACCAAAATGAGGTAGAAGATTCACCTTCTGCACGATGAGGGACGTAGGACTGTGAAGGAAGTGAAGAGTCAAGCTCCGAAATTCAGGAGAAAAATGGTACGGATGTGGAAAAGAAAGAGCGGTGGTGGAGTCCCAGAAAGTAAAATGGACTATCAGTTCTCAATTGTTGTATAAGCTTCCAACCACTCCGTTCCATGATAACTTCTATTCGTAATTCTGCAATTTGACGGGGTGTTTATTGGTTGATTTGTCTATCCGTAAGACAATGATTCTGATGAGAAAGTTGATAAAAAGAATTCTGCTCAGAAAATGTTTGTATTGCCGTATTTACTAGACCCATCTGGTATAAGCACGTATCATGGAGGTTCCGGTATTTGAACTCCCATAGCTAGTTCCAGTGGTTTCGTGGTGACCTTTTTCTGGAACTTCGAAATCGAATCAGGCCCTTCGCAGCGCAGGACTGCGCGCATGGGTGCTGCTGACATGGCCAGCTGTCCGAAATCATGGCGCAACACCCAGCAGGCTCTAATGTCTTGAAGGATACTTGAAGCGTTGATAAATCCTGTCTGTGGGATCTTCCCACGCATTCGACTTCCATTCAGAATCGTAGTATCGTACTGCATGCGAAGTTGGCCCATACAATCACTTGCGGTGGCCAGCCGATGTAAAAGTCTGTGCTTTTTTCTCCCATACGAGTCTGACACCATTTAACCGAAGCCGGAAGGATGGAAGGCTTGGTTGGCCTAGACAGAAAACGATCCGAGATATTGCTGATTTTGCTAGGCACAGCTTTACCAATACAGCTAAGTTGCTGTATTGGTTAATGGCTTAGCAAAGTAGGCAATGATTTTGACAGCGCTGCGCCTTCTTCTTGGTGGATTGCCCTTCATTATATTTTGATCATATCAGAAGAGGGTGAAGACACATTCGGGTCGGGAGCTGTTGTAAGCTACAAATTGTTGTGGTTTTGTAGCGATTCAGAATAATTTCGAAAACGTTAGCATAAACGTGAGAATTTAGTGTCTGCTCTCACATAAGCTGGCAATTTTTCATTGGGAAGTGCACATAAACCTAGTTCTATAAATAAATAAATAGCTACTAAAGTCAGTTGTTGGTTCAAGCGTGAGGGAGTCCAAGAGTTGCGAGATGTTTCTGAGCCTCTTCATTGAACTTGGTGCCAATTGCCTCCAATGCAGCCTTCTGGTCAGCAGTTAGTGGTTTACCCCGGCCCTCAAGGAACTTCTCAAAGCAACCGAAGAAGTCCTGAACATTGGGGTTGAATTTATTAACTAAACGATGACTTGGAGTAAATCTGTGACACTAACCTTCCACTGCTTGGGATCAATTTCCTTCGAAGTGTGTCGGTTCATCAAGTCGCGAACGTATGCGCGGAAGACCATGTCCTGAAAATGAGCAGTTCCATTCGGGGTCAAAGCAGAACGAAAACCGAAATCTCACATTGTCAAAGGTATTGGCGAGAACATGCACGCCAGTGAGCAGATTGCCTCCCTGTTTGACGAATCTGTAATTATCAGATGAGTTTCTTCAGCGATTCTACCGTCCTTAACAAACCCCTTACCTGTCGGTATTCTGAACGTCATCGGCAGTGAAGCTTTCAGCCCCTTTGAAATATTTGCGAAGCTCTGGATGTTTAGTGAAAAAGCTGGAATGTCAGTGTGAAGCATTCGCGAGACACCAAGCTTTACGAGTGTTTTAGCTTATGGAGGGGTTTCCTTCCACACTTACTACTTGTAGAAGTCCTTGCCATTTTGAATCTTGTCAGGGGTCGTGCCAACTGGTACACTTTCCAGTGCAGCAACAGCGTTCTTTCTGACATCTTCTGGAGCCATCCTGAAGAAGCCAAGTTGTACCAGCAGAATCTCACCTAACTTACGATCGTTTCGTATGTCTTGAGTGCTCTGTCATCTCTATCAACCCGTAACTATGATCAGGTAGTCATTTATGCTGCACGCGCTGAAATGTCCCCCATTCCAGGTTGTCATCTAGGTATGTACCCTAAACATACTGAAGATTCCGAAGAAGGGGGATTGAATGAATGTGTTGCCTTTGAAGATTGGAATTCTGCCTGGATTGAGCAAACGAGGTTCGGATTTCTCGGATATGTACAGGAAAGCAAAAAGCTGAACTTACGCAGTTGCGAAGGTTACGAAAGCTGCGAGAGTGAGAAAGAAAAGCTGCATCCCTGAAAAATATGATTAAGAAGTACTGGATCTCTTAAGAGATCAATGGATGTGTATGTAGACGGAGTACGAAGCAAGTCGAGAAATCCTAACAGTACAACGATGAAGTGGGGTGAGTGGAAGGAAAGGATTCCATTGGCAAGTAAAATCATGCTGCAGAACAAGGGCCTGCTCATCTATGGATTAAGCAAGAGTGAAGAAGTAGACTCTGAGGATTGACGAAAATCTTAAATATGGATGTTAGCAGTAGATAAGGAGGACAGTGGAGATGGACCCGATACTGAATCGGATTGGTGCCTCATGATGTTTCCGAACGCTTTTATACTGCTCAAAGTGTAGTATTGATCCAGGTTCAATCATCGTA